CATGATATCTACAGTCTTTCAGAGAAGAAATGGAACCCAGAGCTGAGGGAGTACTACCTGTGTAACCATTTCAATGAGGTAACTTGAGATTGTTTTACTCCTCTCATAGGGCTTAGTTACCAGGAGAGGCCTTTTAAAGAAGAGTATTTAGTTACATCCTACACCTAAAACAGGCAAGTTTGAGATATGTCATGGGTAAAGAGAATAGCTCTCTACAAGTCTGCTTGAGAAATGCTATTCAATATTGTTAGAGAACAAAGACCACAAAAAATATTTTTAGGGCAGGACAGGCAGATTTCCAGATTCTTCCAGGTTAGTTCTTGTATTTTCCTTAGTTTTAAATACTGTGAATTCCCAGAAAGACATTCTAATTTAAATAGAAGTATCAAAAAGCATTTTAAAGCAAAATATAAATAGTTGTCTTTAATTTCCATGCTTTTGACATTGGGCCACCACTACTTTCACTGTCTAAAGAATTCAAAGCCCACTGGAATAAAGTCCACTTAAAAAAAGTGTTATCTAGCAACTATACAGAGGAGTGTTTCTTTTTCTGCATTGAACATCAGACTTATAAAGACATAGCCTTTTAAAAATATAAGATCTGGCTGGGTGCAGTGACTCACACCTATAATGCCAACACCTTGGGAGACTGAGGCGGGAGGACTGCTTGAGCCCAAGAGTTTGAGGATGTAGCAATGAGCTATTATTGTGCCATTACACTCCAGCCTGGGCGGGCAACATAGCTATCTCTCCAAAAAAAGGTCTGGAGTCTAGATCATAACAGCTGCCTTGAGGGATACTGTGAGAATTAAAATCATGTTGAACATAAAAATTCCAAGAGTGTCTGGCACATAGTTAGGAGCTCAATAAATGCTTCTTTTCCTTCCCTGAATCTTCTTTTCTATGTCATTCACAAATAGGCATTGAAACAAAATATCAAAAGAGGTCCTTCTCATTTGACTGGGCATTTGTTTTACATATATTCAAATCTTCTTTTCTGTTTAAGAAAGTAGACTTTTGCAAAGATATGACAACCCAAAAATAAAAAAAAAATAAAAAAAAAAAGAAAGTAGACTTTACAGTACTGGCTCACATGTGTAATCCTAGCATTTTGTGAGGCCGAGGCAGAAGGACTGCTTGAGGTCAGAGTTCAAGACCAGTGTGAGCAAGAGTGAGACCCTATCTCTATAAAAAAGTAGAAAAATTAACTGGGTGTGGTGGCACGTGTCTATAGGCCCAGCGACCCAGGAGGCTGAGGCAGAGGATCACTTGAGCCCAGGACTTTGAGGTTGCGGCTTGGGCAATAGAGTGAAAGTCTGTCTCAAAAAAACACACAAAAAAAACCCAAAAAACAAAAGCAGACTTTAAACTCCTAAAGAATGAGAACATATTGTCTTCACAGTTTTATACCAACCATATTATTTAATAAGGCCTTATGGGTTTTATGGGGGCCCTAATCACTTTTAAATGAAGAAAAGCAAATATTTTTTCAAGATTAAATATAAAAGTATATTCAGCCTTTTTTAATAGGGTTGCCAAGAGGGTTTGGGGGAAACATTTAAAACAAAACAATAAATTGTTGAAAATAATCCCCCTATCAGCCAAATCTCTGTTCCTTTGTGGCAGACAGCTCTTCCAGCAAACCACATTTATGGAATTCCCGCCTTAGCTAAAACTTTCTTAAACTTTCCTAGGGATGGTTTTTCTCAGGGGTCTACAGAATTCAGGTTGCAATGTCTTTATAGAGTGTACCAAGTAACTCCGTATTCAAAGGGATTAAATCTGAAACTGTCAAAGGCATCCTATTAGACACTGAAAACCATTTGTCTAAAATATACAGAGTACAGATTTGAATTGTAAACTTAATCCCAGCCTTACCTTGTGCTGATTGACACTCCATATTCTTATGATGGAGTCTCGACCGGCTGTGAAAAGTCTATTTAGTGCTGGATCCAGCTGCAGGGCATTGACTCTAGGCCATGGCCACCATGCCTGCTAATTTTATCTATATATTTTTAGTTGGCCATTAATTTCTTTCTATTTTTTTTTTTTGAGACAGAGTCTCACTTTGTTGCCAGGCTAGAGTGAGTGCCGTGGCATTAGCCTGGCTCACAGCAACCTCCAATCTCCGGGCTCAGCGATCCTACTGCCTCAGCCTCCCGAGTAGCTGGGATACAGGCATGCGCCACCATGCCCGCTAATTTTTTGTATATATATTTTTAGTTGGTCAATTAATTTCTTTCTATTTTTGGTAGAGACGGGGTCTCGCTCAGGCTGGTTCGACTCTGACCTTGAGCAATCCGCCCGCCTCGGCCTCCCAAAGTGCTAGGATTTACAGGCATGAGCCACCACGCCCGGCCTAATTTCTTTCTATTTTTAGTAGAGACGGGGGTCTCGCTCTTGCTCAGGCTGGTCTCAAACTCTTGAGCTCAAATGATCCACTGCTTTGGCCTCCCGGAGTGCTAGGATACAGGTGTTGAGCCACTGCACCTGGCCTGCAATTAGTTTTAAAAGATTTAAAATTAGACCACCAATTAAATAGTATGTTGCGTCACTTCAAATCAAACCGATGCAATGGTATACAAAGTGGTATAAATTTCTGACAAGTCATAAGTAAATGTCCAAATGAAACTGCATACCTGTGTGCCGTCTCTGTTTAACAGCATGCTTACATATCTGTGTGCCTTTAAGCTTCATTAGTTTTGCACATGTTCTTGATCCCATACCCTTAATACCTGCAATATTTAACAAATATTATACAATTTAACAGATTATACAAACTGAATATATACATGATCAAATATTAATAGATGACCTTCATAAGTCAAATGACAACCATTAAATTCTTAGAAGGAAATGCTGCTTCTGCAATGGATACTGTCTAAAGCTCTAATCCTTAGGAAGAAGCTTTCTAGCTTGTCAAAAATGCACAGCCCCCTCACCCTCCTGTCACTACACACCCACTCTATATATAGTCATATTTTTATTATTCAATAAAACTCTTCTGTTAGCATCACCACTAGGCAAAACAGCGTTAATTTAAAAATGATATAGATCAAGTTATTTTTGGTTGTTTCTAGTGGTTGAAACACACTCTTTAAGCTCCCCCTTACCTTCTTCGTGGACCTGATACGATGATTGTTCCAGTTGATTCATGGCCAGGCTATAAATGGAATCTTGTTCCCACTTAAAGAAGAAGCTATTTGAGGATAAATGGAACTAAATGTTAACAAAAATCAGAGCCGTTTAGTAACTAGTCAGCAAAAACTAGAAGATTAATTATTCCATTTAGAATTCTTATCTTTATTAGTACACTAGAAGAATTCTACTTATAATGGAGATAATCTGAACAATAGTATCATTATCAAAATTTACATCTTTCTTGGATTTAAGTATATACAAGTGCTCAATAAAAATATCTGCTAAATTGAATTGTACTGCCATTTAAAAACAATCCACATAGATAATGTATTTTAAAGATAACATGTGCCAATATGAAAAATGTTCACTCTCACTTATTTCAAGGAAACACAAATCAAACAAAATACCAATCATATACCAAATCAGACAAAAAAAAAGGTAATACTTAATTCTAAAAAGAATACAGAAAATGGCACTCTCAATACATTACTTTGGAAGATAAATTAGTACAACCTTCTGGAAGGAAATCAGACAATGGTAGCAAAAATCATGTTCATGCCTTTTGATTCAGAACTCAGTATCACTGAAGTGAAGAAAGCTGTGTATAGAACTGTCCATATGGCATAATCCTAATTTTACAATAAATAAATATACACAAACATACTGAAAGTTAGATAAAGGAGTTAATACATGTAGTGTTAGAAAAATGCCTGCTTGTGGTAAGTACTCAATAAATGTTAGCTGATTATTAGTGTTATTTCTATAATCGTAACAAAAAATTTGTGTGACAACTTCTCTAAACAATTCTTAAGCAAGAGGTATCTACAGTAGAATCTGTATCACTAAGCCTCGGTCTCTGACTTGTAAGCATCTGCTTTTTTTTTTTTTTTTTGCTTTGTTCCCTCCCATTAGTGTCTCTTTGAAGCAGGCCTTACATCTAGAGAATTAGAGCTAATGATGATGACAGCCCCAAGTAGGACAGCTGCTGAATCACCAAGATAGTGTACATAGATGAAGAATCAAGAAGAACAAGGGGAGCATAGTGTTTAGACCCCACATATTCTTAGCAAACAGGCAAAACAAAACTCAAAAGATTATAATTCCAGTCTCCAACTTGCCCTTCTTGACACATAACCATATATTAGCAGAACTGTTTATCTATGTCAATGTGAACACTATAGAGTCATGAGAACTAGATGTATAATGTAAGTATCTAAATAATTTAGGCCCATGTCTCTTCAACACAGACCTTCCGGCCACGCTTAGCCAAAAATGTGCTCCTAAGAGTCCCTTCTGACACCTGTATAGAAGACTCTAGTAGGCTGTGCCAAGCATGAGGCTGCATATCAAGTCTAGACTCATTGGAGTTTGACTGGTGGTCTGAGATCTCTTAGTGTATGAAGCATCCATGCTACTAACCTGCTGTGAACGTCTCTGAGATTGCCTATAGAAGCACCCATAAATCCCTGGGCTCTTCTGACGTGCGTTGATTCTTTAGGGCTGTTCGAAAGGGTCCTATTAAATTGGTACAGAAAACCTTTTCTTTCTTTCCCTTGGGTATTTTTCGTCTTGGCCACTAACTCAAAAGCTTTTAAATATATAGTAACACTTTAAACTGCCTACTTTGTCAGGTAATCATCACCTCCTTCAATAATACTGCTGAATGTAGGATTTAGGCCAGGCAATGCTGTGGAGATAGAAAGTAGTGATAAAGACAGACTCTCCTATCCTGCAGGACTTATACTTTTGCTAGGGAGCTAAGACATGCACATGTACAAAAAATAACAGGTTATACCTGGAGAAGTTACCATTTTAGACTGCAGTGAGGAACTAGCTCCTTGTTGTTCAATCATACTCTTGGGACTAGAACGCTGTAGGTAGAAGCACTCTCAAAATATGAACCACTGTCTCGATGCAAACCTATCAAAAATTTTTATAAACCATTCTTTATTTATGTCAACTTGGATCACTTTCAAAGAAATTGTTTCAAACACCTTACTTGTGACAGTGTTGTTTGAGGCAGTCAATGCTGTTAGAGTATTCACATCCCAAAGAATATTTGTCTGTCCAACACCAGCTGATGCTACCAGTTCTTTATCCTTGGCATATGCTAAGGCCTTTACATAATCCTGTAACAGAAAGGATATACTATGATCTACTCTGTACATCAGTAAGAAAAGGAGCCACACAATTACTGAGATCCCAATATTACACTAAAGACACTGAGAACTGTATTAGTTGTTTTACCTTATGTGTTCTTAATGTTGACATGCAAAATCCCTTATGTGCATTCCATACTTTTACTGTCGTGTCAGAAGAAGCAGATATTACTAGAAGAGGCAAAGAATGAACAAATCCCTTAGTAGTATGACTTTTAACAACTTTGAAAACTTGTATCATATTAAAACAATGTAACATTATTTCTCTCTCTCTCACACACACTCCTACCCCTAAAAGCTCTTTCTAGAATCTACTATATATTGCCTCATATTTTAAAATAGGAAGGGCAATCTTTTTAATGTTCCAGTTGAAGGCTCAACTAATTGGGTTGAGAAAATTCTCTAACTCAAACTATAAACCAAGAAATGGATCTTACCAAATAAGAACAAAAAGAGGTATTAATAAGCAAAAGAAGAATATGTATCGTATGAGTCTATTTGTATACAGTTCAAAGTGCAGGAAAATAACTAATCTATGGGTTCAGAAGACAGGAGAGCAGTTACCTTGGGGTAAGGGTACTGATGGAGACATCGGCACAAAGGGACATCTGGTAATATTCTGTTTGTTGACTTGGGTAATCAATGCAAAAAATTTTAATGAACTGCAATCACAAGGACTCCGTACTTTCTATATGTATGTTATATTTCAACAAAAAACTTATATAAAGAAATGAAAATATATCAATTGAATTAAAAATTTCCAGAAGCCCAATAATCCAAAGAAATACTCACATGTTTTCCCATTACAACAGAGTACAATGTCATTTACCCAATCGGTATGGTGTTCCATAGACCCGGCTAATTTTTTCTATATATTTTTAGTTGTCCAGCTAATTTCTTTCTATTTTTAGAGGAGACAGGGTCTCACTCTTGCTCAGGGTGGTCTCGAACTCCTGAGCTCAAACAATCCACCTGCCTCGGCTTCCCAGAGTGCTAGGATTACAGGCGTGAGCATGAGGCAGTTTCTATGTCATAATTTCCACAAGAGTAACAGACTGATGGTTATTTCCCATCTTATCATCTTTCTACTCCAGCTATTCTAACCCCATCGTAGTCATTCCAGTTATCTCTGAACTTATCACTGCCTTCTGGAAAAAAAAAGGCTGGAGGAGGGAGGGTATATGGTAGAGGTATGTCTTATCATAAAATGGTGCTCAGTTTTTCTTGCTTTTTATTATCCCCATGGATGACAAATTATTTTTCCACTGCTACAGAATAAACAGAATTGTGATTTATAATGCAAAAACGATGTAGCAACAGAGTTAATGAATATTACCAAAATGGTCTTCTTTAAATGCTGCCTCTAAGCATTGTGTTAGAAAACTAAACTTACAGAAAGTATGTACACAGTCAACTTACAAAACCTGCCCCAAAGTCAAACACATTGTGAGGAAATTTTCCACTTACTATACAGGCAAAAAGCATTCAATACCAAAGCTTCCTTATGCTTTACACAGGTAACATCAGTTATTTTAGCCTCTCTGAACCATAAATGCATATTATACATCTGTATTAGAATTATTCTAAGGAAGTTTCTTGTTTTGCCTTTACTTAAAAGTGATACAAATGAATAGTTTTAAAACGTGGCTTATTATATGTGCAATTTAGTTAGTTTTTTTTTTTTTTGAGACAGTCCTACTTTGTTGCTTGGGCTAGAGTGCCACGGCATCAGCCTAGCTCACACAACCTCAAACTCCTGGGCTCAGGCGATCCTACTGCCTCAGCCTCCGGAGAAAACTTATCTTTCCTTGCATCATTTTATTTGAAGGTAATCAGATTGGGTTATATTGCTGCTGTAAAAATTACAACTTTAATGACTTAACAACTCCCATTTATTATTTCAGTTCTGAAGGTCAGAAGTCCAGGCTGGGCCTAAGTGGGTCCTCTGCTTAGGGTCTTATAAGGCCCAAACGACAGAGTCAGCAGGTCTGTGCTCCTTATGAGAGGCTAGAGTCTGCCTCCAAACCCATTAAGGTTATTGGTCAAATTCAGTTCCTTGCAGTTGTAGGCCGAGGTCCTTGTTTGTTTTCCTTGATGGCTGTCAGCCAAGGGTCTGTCTTGATTCCAGAGGGTGCCTGCATTCCTTCTTCATGCTTCCAGTGGTCCTCTCCCCTGCAATGAATGGTTGAGATCCTTTCACAACTCAAATCTCTTTTTCACCTTCACAATCTCTCAGACTAATGCCTTAGCTTGAGAAGTACTCTGTTTTTAAGGCCTTAATATATTAGAACGGCCCACAGGGATATCCTATTAAAAAATCTGTAACCTTATTACAGCTGCAAAATCTTTTTATCATATAACATAACATATTCACAGTTCTAGAGATAGGCCATGAACATTTTTAGGGGATCTCCACTCTGCTTACCACGCAACAAAACATTTTTTATATGAAAACAAATGTGGATATATTTGATAAGCACAAAATTCACTTAAAAAAGATAAGAAGAGAGACTCCAAAGCCTATCAGGCTCACAAAGGGACACTCTGGTATCTTCTGGGCTCCTCAGGATGTGCATTACTCACCTCCACTTTGATGTCTAACTGACAACCACAACGAGTCCAAATGAGCTCCTGATAGCTTCTCTCCAAACTAACTTTTCTTGTAGCATTCCCTATCTCAGTTACTGGCAACTCATTCTTCAAGTCTCCAGGCCCAAAACCTTGGTGCTATCCTTATTCTCTTTCATCTCACACCTGTCAGCAAGCCTGTTAGCCTGAACCTTCAAAGACTCATCCAGAATTCAGCACTTCTCACCACTCTGGTTGGAATGACTATCACATAGCATCTGGATTGTTTAAAATAGCTTTTCTACCTGGTTCCCAGCTCTTGCCCTGCAGTCTGTTCTGAAAAAGCAGCAAGGCAGATCCTATTAACAACATACTAATAACATTCCTTACTTCAAAATTATCACTACTTTCCATTCTCATTCAGAAGCTTACTATGACCTGTAAGGCCTATATGATCTGGCCTGCAGTCACCTGTCTGATTTCATCTTCTACTCCCTTTCACTCATCATCATATTGCCACCACAAAGGCTTTTTATTGTTCAACAATTAGGCCAGGTAATCCACCTCAGGACTTGCATCTTGCTAAATCTCACTGGAATGCTCTTCCCCCAGATGCCTGTGTGGCTATCATTTTCCTTCAATCAGATCCTTACTCAAAGTCAGCTTCTCCAGCAGGGCTTTCCTAGCCACCACAACTAAAATTTTCACTTCCCTTTTTTACTGCTTATCACCATCTTAACCATTTCAAAAAAAAAAAGAAAAAAGAAAGTCATCATATATTTTAAGTGAAATATAAGTGGTCCAACACAGCAGTATACAATAACCATTATTGTAAAAATGTTTCAAAATATTAAATACATATTTTAGAATAAATATACAAGTTTGGAAGGATACACATGTATAAAGCTACCATGAATTATTCCTGAGTGATGGGATTATTGTGATGTTCACTCATTCATGTCTTTTTTATATGGTAAATGTTTTGCAATGGGCATATATTGTTTTTTGAATTTTATAATTTAATTTTTATCCTAGTAATTCTTGCCTATATTTAGAAAATCAAATAGTACTGAAGATTATAATGAAAAATAACTCTTACTTCTTACAGCATAATGTTTAGAAGAAAAAAAAAGACTTCCCATACCCAGTTTTCATCCTTAAAGGTAACAAACTTCAACTCTTCATTGTTTCTCCTGGATAGTCACTGCATTTCTCTAAATATCATGCTTATCCTACAACTTAGTCCTTTAGACATTACTGATTTACTCACACTATTGTAGATTAGGATGTAGCTCTGAAATTACCCTCAATATTTCCTCCCTCTACTCTTCTAACATACATACTTCATTTTGGGGGTTGAATAAATAATCTGTGCAACATTGTTGTGACTTTGTAAGGCTGTCTACTAAGTACTATATTACGAATACATTTCCTTCCTCAGAGAGCTTTTTGTTTTCCCTACAGTGTCTTGCTTTCCTTCTTCAATGTTTTCCTCTACTTTAACTTCAATTTTTTTCAGTTGCTGTACCACAGAACTCACCTGCCCCCCTCTTCCTATACGGTTTCCCCCTTGGAACCCTCCATCTTCTCACTGCAGTCTGGGCTGGCTGCCCTCTAGGTCTGCCTGGCACAGCTATCACCTTTGGTGCTTCCCTTTACTGTTTTTCTGGGTTAGAGCCATTGTTTCCAGAATTCCAATGCTGCTTTCTTTCTTTGTTCACTCCCCAGTTTTGCTGAAGTACATCCCCAGAACCCTAAGAAAGTAACATAAGAAAAGGTATATGGGAGGTGACTTAGTCCTTGTATGTTAGGAAAGGTCCTTTTCCTCTACCTTTATACTTCATTCAGCAGGATAAGGAAGTCTATGTACAAAAATCCCCTCAGCTTTTGAAGGCATTGCTCTAACTTCCTCTAGTGTCCAATGCTGCCACTGTAATCAGTGCCATTCTGTTCCATTCAACTTTAAAGTGATCCCATTTTCCTTCTCCTGCTCTTCCTAACCACTGTGCCACCCTCTTCCCCAAGCTTTTAGGAGCTTCTCTTTTGTTCTTGGTGTTAAGACATTTCTTGATTTGGTCCTTTTATCATTAATTTTGCTGTACATTTAGAAAGCCCTTTCAATCTAGTAACTTGTGGTACTTCAGCTTTGGGAAATTTTCTTGTATCCATTATAAATAATCATCTGTTTTCTTTGCTCTTTCTTGAATTCCCATAAATCAGATGTTGGTACTTTCAAACTGATCCCTCATCTTTTACCCATTCTACGTTATCTATGTTTGTCCTTTTGTTTACTTTTGTAAGACTTCCTTTACTATTTAATAACTCTATTAGCTTTTTTGTAGCCAATTATATAGTATGATAGAAAAAACAGAGACAGTATCTTCAATAGGGAAATGGTTAAACTAAAGTACATCCTTCTATGTGGTCATTAAGGAATGAAAATAAACTATATACACTGATATGTTCAAAGACACATTGCATTAAAAACTTGTTAAAGAAAAAATGTCTGGCTATAGAAAGATAGAAGAAAACGGAATCTAACTCTTTCAACAAATATTGATTAAGCACCCACTAGTTGCCAGACACTATTCTAAATGCTGAGGATACAGTAGCAAGAACAAAAACAAAAAAGTCTTCCTGGAACTTACACTCTAGTTGAGGAAAGAGCATAACTGGACAGGACAATAAGTCAAGTAAAGTATTAATATTTTTTCCCAAGATACAGGCAACTTTTGCAAACAGAAGTAATGGAAGTAAAGGAAAGATAAAAGTAGAAGGTGCTAGAGATAGAAGCAATAACTGAGTGACATGTCATGGAAAAACATTTATATGGCCAAGAATACAGGCTAAGGCACAGAAGATGAGGATTCATATCAGACTATCTTGATTTGCTTAAAAAATGGGGTGGGGGACTATATGAGCTTTGCAAGGGGATCAAGGGGATAGGAAGCCAGGCCTTTAGTGGGAAACAACATTTTGGAAGAGCCAATTAAAGGGACTCCAACAGGGAGAAAAATAATAGGGTAGTTCCCTAGCCACAAGTATCCAGTTAAGTTACATTGTAAGCATTTATAGCTGGTTCAGCAAGCATTGTTTGATTGATATCTCCAGCAACTATCTGGGAACCAAAACAAAGAAGTCAGATGGTAGGAATGATCCACTCACTTTTTATGCTCTGTCTCTACATTTCAAACTTAAACATCCCTTGAGTTACTGGTAGTGTGATAAGGTAGAAACAATCAAGAGAAAAACTTATCTTTCCTTGATCATTTTATTTGAAGGTAA